GACAGGTAAATTTTCAGCGCCAGTGAAGGACACAAACATAGGTTAATTCACTTGACGGAGGAGCACCAATGGTATAAAACCCTCATCCACCCACTCTCAGACAGTCAACTATGATGAGGAGCTGCACTGCCCTCCAAAGGATTAGAACATAGCTTGAAATAATTTCAGTGCCGGCTAGCATTTTTTAATCATTTTGGTGGTTACTTTCTTTTTTAAATTTTTTGCTTCCATCTCAATGTCATTTGATTCAGATGTTTGCCTTGAACATAGCAATTATATCAAAACTTTACAGCTCTCTGATTGTCTATATCGTTAGCAATCATAGCGTATCAAAAATTTTCAGCTGTGCTGCTTACCATGCATCATAAACAGGAGAGAGTTTTATCTTATCGCAAAAGCGTGCAAAATCAAAACCTCAAATAATCAGTGATCCGAGGGGAATTGAAAATGGAAAGAGAAGTAAGATTGAGGCATACCAGAAGATTCATGTACTGATCGGCGTCGAAGGAAGGGGTATTAATGGTGTCCAGCGTGGCAAACCTTGAGGAAGTGTTGTTGACAGGCATCGAAGCCGAAGAAGGATCTGGAGAGTAGAAACTGGATAACAGATCTCTCATTCTCTTCGCCTTGTCGTCCAAAGGCACGTCGTCCGACCCCATTTTTTGCACCTTTTTTTTATTTTATTCTTCTTCCTCTATCTCTTCATTTGTGTTTTTTAATCTACAGATCGATTCGTCGTGCTCGCAACAGCTGCATAAATTCGACGCCGGAAGCTCTTCTCCGGGGAGAGACGGTACTGGGGGGTTAGGCCGGAGTGAGATTTATGTAGCACGAGTTGTCTTATTCCAACAACTTCCCCAATACGACGTAGTCCGACTTGAATTCATACTGGTATTAACACACGGTTAACTGGTTAAGAAGAGTAGAGGTAAAAATGGAGCGATTGCTTGAAAATCAACACGTGTTGATTACATTTTTATTCATAATAATTTAAAAATGCATAAGTTTTTTAGAGAATTTTTGTTTTAATATCACTGTGTGGTACATTTTTTATATTTCATTTTTTGCGCGAGTATTAGAAGAGTAAAATGGTCCCAACGCACATGAAAAGAAAAACACAAACCTTAACATGCACAATTATCTACGCAAACTTAAATATAATCAAACTATTACATTATTCATCCCACTACTCACAACACCAACCTATACAAACTTTTCCAATTTTACCATTCTAGACGCTTTACCATTTTTACGAACTAGTGTGAATACCCGTGCTACGCACGGTGCTTACATTATTAAAAAAAATTACAATCTATGGAAGAATTTAAAAATAATAAAATATTATTTTACTATAAAATAATATTATAAAATATTATTTTTTAATTAATGAATGGTAATATGTGTATTTAATAGTAAGATTTGAGAAAATCTATCCTTAATTTGGTAATGTTTCTGATAGTAGTTGATAATATTTTATGTTTGAGACATTATTTAGTGGGTGAACTCGATGTGAAATGTGAAGCATGATTTCGACCATATGAGTTTTGAGTCACTATATTTTTTATGATATGTAATTAAACATTTAGAATAGTAAAATATATTTTTTATTATGTTAATTATTGCCTCAAACAAATTGTCAATTTTGGTAGTAAAAATGACAATATATTTATGTTAACCTTTGATATTAGATAAGATTGTAGTGATCCTATTCATTAGGATTGACCACTGCATATGCAATAATAGCTTTTAGTACTATTTGTTAACATGTAACATATTAACAAAGCCATTGGGGAGCTTGCGGTGGCATTTATTAAAGTGCTTATAAACAATTGGTACTATTTCCACATTCTTATAAACAATGAAAACAACAATAATATTATAATATTCGAAATGTTATTAATACTTAGAAGTACAATAATAATCCCAATAATATTCCCAAATTTTAAAGAATACATAAGACCTAAATTTCTAACTTGATTCTTACAAACAATGAAAACAACAATAATAATATAATATTGAGAATATTATTAATAATTGAAATAACAATGGAAACACCAATATTTAAAGAATAAGTACTGTAACGTCTAACTTGATTCTTATAAACAATGGAAACAGCAATAATATTATAATATTGAAAATATTATTAATAATTGCAATTATAATGAAAATGGCAATATATAAAGAATAGATAATACCGGCTTGATTCTTATAAACAATGAAAACAATAATAATATTATAATATTAGAAATATTATTAATAATTGTAAGTATAATGAAAATACCAATATTTAAAGAATAAATAGTGGCGAAACTTCTAACTTGATTCTTATAAACAATGGAACCCATCTAATTCTGGATTGTGCCCATGCATAGCACAATCAAGATGTGACATGAATTTTAATTTTTTTTAGAACCTCATTCCTAGGATCCATCGACTACAACACACACACAAGCTGTTGAGACAATTTTGCGACTAAATATATAACTAAGGTTCTAGTATGTTGGGGGATTCATTTTATTTGACGCTTAAGAAATATAGGATTTTTTCCAGAGTTCGAAATTTTTAATATATATATATATATGTAAGATTTTATCCGGAGAGAGTTTGGGCACGACATGATTTTATCCCGATTTGAATAGCCCAAGGACATGTAATGCAGTAAGACACAAAATCTGCCAAAAAAAAAAACCCAAAACACAAAAAACAAACCTACCCGCTAGTAGTAATCTCTTAATGTCAACCTTCTAAACATCTTATTTCAAAGTAATGAAGAAACTCCACAGATCACAACTCATAATTAATAGTAGTATTATTTTTCGTGATCAAAATTGATGGTACTACAATATGTTACCATATTAAGAGTTTGGGGTAAAGACTACATAAGTCACATCATGAGCACAACTCATGATATGATCAGGTTTTCAATATTAAAAGAATATCAATATTAAAAGAATAAATAGTACCGAAACTTCTAATTTGATTGGCGCGGCGTTTGAGTCGATGTAGTCGAGATTTTATCCATCGTAGTTGATGTGAGATTTCTCTTTCGTCGGCGCAAAATTGTTGGAACTGTTCCAATTCTTGTGCGGGACCGTGGTGGCGTCCTTTTCGTTTCATTAGCAAATGTTTCCTCCGTTGCAATCTTGCGAGTTTGAAATTCAGGTGTTGATGACATGCCTGTAAACGGCCATGTTCTATTGTGAAGCTAATTAGAGAGGTTCGAGAAGGAAGTTGATTGAAAGGGTTTTAATTGAAATGGAAATGTGGGTGTGGAGTGAAATTGTAAGAGTAATTCCCAAAAGTAGTAATTCCCAAAAGTAGTACCAAGTATATTCCGTGGCAGTTGGGAAGAGATCAAGTGCAATCCTCAATTCCGTTGGATCAGGGGCCAAGTACCAACTATATTGTAAGTGGGAAGAGTTTTAATGTAAGTGGAAGTTATTTTTTTGTTTGAGGGAACGTGGGAGTGTTAGAGTTTTAATGTAAGTGGAAGTTACATTTTTGTTTGAGAGAACGTGGGAGTTTTAGTTGGAATTAACTTCTTATTTGAGGGAAACGTGGGGATGTAATGGGTCCATGATATTTTTTACGAAATAAGATAAATGTAAAATGCTAGGAAAATAGAGTTGAGAGTGGGAAGGGTTGTGGAGGCTTGTTCCTGAAAATCCTTTCTCAAATTTATATAGATATAGATTTGCACTATTTTCTCTGTAGCTGTCTATCTAAGAAGAAGGGGGAATAATTTCTACACATACTATAATAATAATAATAACAACAACAACTCGAGGCATGGTGTGTAATCTCATTTTTACGCTTCATGATTTATTATAGGGATAGTACAAGTAAAAACTCATAGTGAAAGCAATAATATATTTCAAAGAATAATATGGGAAAGCGGTTGAATGTTAACCCCGACTTTTGTTCACGTGTATTTACTTTATTATTAAATTTTCATATCACTATAAGGAAACTTAAAACCTTATAGTGATGACTTAAGTCCCTAACAATTGAGTTGACAGCGTGAACAGGATCAAGTTAATTTTCATATCATCGTTACTTACATGATAAAATTATCAAGAAGTTATTTGTCGGAAACTAAAACGATGTTTTGAAGACATCCTATTTTGGTGTTTGGATTTTTTAAAAATTTTAAAATTAAGTAATTTGTGAAGATACTTATTTTAACAAATACGTCTCTATTGTTTGGTCAACTCATTTGTAAATTTGAATAAGAAGCCCGTTCAGTGGAACTGGGACCGGAAGACAACGTACTAGATAAAATGAGATTACAACTTTTGGATAAAAATTTTTTTTTTTTGTCAGTGAGAGAGGGTTTCTTCATCACCATCTTCTTTTCCTTTTTTCCATTTTTAGCCTTTTTTTTAACTTAATATTTGTAAAGTTTGTGACAGCTGTTGTGATCTCTTTTTTCATGACAAAAAAAAAGTAAATGTAATTTTGCAAATTTTAGTGGAAATAGCCACGACCGTTAAAAACCTCAAGGGAGATCTCCAAAATTATCTCAAAATTCTTTTCTGGACGGCATGGTAGCGTGAACTACTGAAGCGTGTCACATAAAACAGCGGCGTTCATTTTTGTGGGGCTCACATGAGAGCCCACTGTTAGTGACACGTGGGGCAAGGATTAGGTAGCACTGTCTAAAATGGTTCATGGTCATCATGGTCATAACAGATCTTGTATATCAGTTTTAATATCGCGTGTGAGGCTCATTTTCACAAAATTGTGTTTTTATATTTACAATATGAACAAATGAGACTACGGGCCTGTGTGCATTGTAGAAGTCTTTGAAAAAATTTTGTAAATGTTTTTTGTAAGATAAAAAACATTTTTGTTGAAATTTTTGTATAAGGTAAAAAACTTTTTTTTTCTTTTTTTTCTTTTTCTCTTTCTCTTTCTTTTTCTTTTTTTCTTTCCTTTTTCTTTTCTCTCCTCTCTTCTTCTTCTTCTTCTTCTTCTTCCTTCCCTCTCCCCCTTCCCCGTTACCTCTGTCTCCCAGCAGCAACCCAACTCGCTCCACCCCCTACCCCGCCACCAGCCCCACCTCCAGCACCTCCGCCAAGACCTTCTCCAACCCCTCCTCCCACGCCTCCACCTGCTCCATATTCGGCACCACCACCAATGCCTCCACCAGCCCCTCCTCGTACTCTCCTGCCTGCTCCACCCCCAACTCCATCACCAGCCCCACCTCCTGCACCACCAACTGCTCCTCCAACAGCACCTCCACCTGCTCCTTCTCTAACGCCATCACTAGTACCAGCACCATTACCTGCACCTCCTCCAATTCTAGCACCACCATCCGCTCCACCACCAGCACCTTCTCCAATGCCACCTCCCGCCACCCATCTCTTCCCTTTCCCCTTCTTCTCCCCTCTGCCCTTCCCTCTCCTTTTTCCACTGCCCGGCAGTCAACGTGCACCTGCTCCACAAGCCAGTCAAAATTTTTTATTTTTTTGCAATTTTCAACCTTCCCCTCTCCGCAATCAGGTGTGTGGAAAAATCCCTCTTCCCGATGCGATCTAGCCTCGCTACTAGATTGGCTAGAAGGGAAAGAGAAGGGTGATGGGGAAGGAGTGGGGAAGGGATTTTTTTTTTTTTTTTAAAGGGTCATACAAACTGGGTAAATGGAGAGAATGGCAGGGGAAGATGGCGGGGAGAGGGAGAAAGGCCAAAAAAAAAAAGGAAATGGCAACGAAGATAGTGGTGGGTTGGGATGGGGTAAGAAGAAGAAAAAAAAGGGAAGGGAATTTTTTTTTGTGTTTTGTATATTTTGAAGTGTATAGGTAAAAAACTTATAAAAGTTTTTTTGGGTCCCTATAGCAAAAGTTGCTAAAAAACTAGGTAAAAAACTTGTTTAAAAATCTGGCTTCCAAACAGGCCCTACATGTCGTAGAATTGAACAAGACCTGCCCAAATAGTTTTTTTTTTTATAACCTTTTGCATCTTAGGTTTGGACAAGACATTGTTCATATCAAAATTCATTTACTGGCAAAAGTTCTTAGATGCGTTTGATAAAAGTGAAATTTGAAAACTGAAATCTAAAATTTGAATTCATTAAATTATTAAATATTAAATTAAATACATATGAGTATATATTATATCTAGTGATAAATGAATAATTTATCACTTATTTTTAAAAGTAAGTTTTACCTAAAAAATTTAGTATCATTTAATTAATTTAAAATTTTATTTTTAATTATCAAATACATTCGAATATATTAACATATGAATTCGTTAAATATAAATATTGAATTAGATTATCAAAAAGTGTATTTTAGTACCTAGCAGGCTAAAAGTCGCTGCCGAGTTTCCACACGAGCGAATTTCCTTACGGACCACGGGCAGGAATGATTGCACTTTCCTTTATTGCAACTGACAGTGATGTGCATTTTGTATACGGAGTAACTTTGTTTGCACATAGTCTAATTTACTTTTAACAATTTATAACTTTAGAATAAAATTTTATGGATCCCATATATATTATTAAAATTGAGATACAAGATCAAATTTGGATCGTATAATATTTTTTAATCAAATGTTAACCGTAAACTGTTTAGGAACGATCCTTCTAATACCGTCCCTGCGCCGTATCCTTCCCTTACAGGCTAAAGCTATTAGCATCTAGAAGGCTTCAGAGTTTTCACATGGGCCTAATTTTTTAGGTGGTCTTTCAAAGCAAGCTGTCTAGTTCAAGATTAAGTTTTTTTTTTAATTATTTTCTTCTCACATTGATTGTCAAAACGCGTCCCAAGATGCGAGCATCAATTTACGTGGATTTACTTTCCAATTTGGTATTTTTTGTTTCCTTAAAAAACGGTCAGCGAATTCAGCCAGCATCGTAACTCGGATTGACCGCACCTTTTCCTAAAGCATGCACACCTTTCTGGTTTTCGACATCGTCAAACACCATCAATTTATTTCAAAGTATGAAAAGGCGAGGGTAGGAGGAAATATGAAAAGGAACCCAAAGTAATACAAAAATTATAACACGAACATAGTAAACCAAAAAAAAAAAAAAAAAAAAAGAGAGAGAGAGAGAGAAATAGTTCATAAGAAAAATTTAAGATGTCAATCATCCAATGTCACCTATTATTTAATAATTTCGTATTGCTAACAAAACAATAAGTATTGAATTTAACTGGATTTGGTTAATTATGTATCACAGATACGGAATTTGGTAAGTTGATAGAAATCGGTAAGGTCTTGTTTGGATAATAATTTTTTAAAGAAAAATTATTATTTTTTCATAAATATATTTTTTAATCATATTTCTCACATATATTAAATTATTACAATAATTTTTTTACAAAAAATCTAAAAAAATACAACCCAAAACTATTCTGACCGAAGAAGATTTAATTTGTTGGGTAATTGGTCCTTCCAACATTTACCTAAAACGATGGGCCAAAAAAAAAAAAAAAAAACTCTTAAAAGATGACCGATGGGCATCAATTGCTTTGCTGTCGTTATATTGCAGCAGGCACCTACGGCTACGAGACCCCACTCGGTCGAATTATTTTAGAATATTCCAAATTTTCTATTATTAAATCCCTTAATCTTAGACGCTGAAGCCACCATGTTCTCCTATAAATACCCCATCCCCACGGTCTTGTCGACCTTCTTCGCTCCCGTCGCCTCGTTTGCGCACAGGTTAGTTCTTTTCCCCTTTCCTTTTCATTTCCCTTTCCCTTAGTTTCTTTACTGTTTATTGCTGTTTTCTTTTTTTTTTTTCTTTATTTGTTTCGTTTCAGATAGTTTATTTTCTGTTTTTTTGTTTTTATTCATCTAGTATAGATTTCATTTATATTATCTTTTTTTTTAATGTTTTTGGAATAATCTATGTCGTTGGCTTCTGATTACAGCATTCCTAGATTTGCTGGTTTGTTTGCTTATTGATTGATTCAGAAATCAGAACAGTTGTTTGATTGCATGATTACTTTCTTTTTTTGCAGATCTACTCTATTGCTGTCTCACCCCACCCCAAAAAAATTTGTTTCAAATTTAACAAAATTAAATATTAATAAGTTTTGCGAATTAAGGAATTTCGAAGAACCGATCATGTTTCTACGTTTTCCTCTTCCTCAGAAAATTTCATGACACACACTGTCCTCATGCGCCGGATTCGCCTTCTTCACTCATTTTCAGTAGTTTTTCTCTACTGGTTTTACGTGTTTTCATGAACTAACCCTCAAATTGATTTTCATCGGCCAAAAATTTTGTAACTATTAGTCATCAGGTTCGCAATTGGTCTAAACTTTAGCAAAAATTCGCTCCAAACGCTCACTTAACTTTCAATTAAATACATCGAAAAAAGATGGCACCAGACAAATCATTTATGAATTTCGGGTCAAAGGGGGATCCATGTAATGCTAAGTGTGATTTGAAGAAGATGAAGAGAAAGGAATCCAATCGCTTATCTGCTCAGAGGTCTCGAAATAAGAAGCACCAGCAGCTTGAAGAGCTTCTCCGTCAAGTGAATCTCTTAAAGGAAGAAAATCAATCATACTCGGACAGAATCAATGGCACCAATCAAATGTATCAAAACATGGCTTCTCAAAATAAGGTTTTGAGGGCTCAGTTTGATGAATTGTCTGATCGTTTGCGTTCCATGAATGATGTGATTCACATTGCATCTGAAGTCAATGGTGTGGCGATTGATACTCAAGAAATTCCAGATACCTCACATAAACCATGGCAGCTCCCCTTTCCGGCTCAGCCGATGTTGCAGGACCCATTTCTGCCTCAACCATTGCAGCAGGATTCCTTTCTACCTCAACCACTACCACTGTTGCAAGACCCATGGCATCTCTCCTGTGTGAATCAGCCAATTGCTGCCTCTGCTGATTACTTCCTCGACTGAAATAAATCTTGGGTTAAGCACTTGTTACTTCTTAGTTGAGTCAATGTCTGGTCGTCAGTTTCTAGTTGATTGTAATATTTTTGAAGTTGTTTGATATGCTTATTTCAGCTTTTTAGGGTGTCTGATATGGTAATTGCTAGAGATTGTTTATACACTTTCAAGTATTAGTATGTTGGATTGTTAGCTTGTCCATATTAATTTGAGTAGATGTTGCTTGCAGATCTAATCTAAATTGACATTAGTTGATTGGCTACGGTTAGTCAATAAATTCAAATCTAAATTTTTTTTGGCAAGATATGAAACCCAACTCCAAAAGGGAATCTAACTCAATGAAGTTACTTTTTCTATACACGACTCCTCCTCCTCCTGCAACTTGGGCTGCTAGGCCTGACATTATGAGTTATTGTCACACTGACTTTTAACCTCCAATCGAGCTCGCTCGTTCCTGTATAGTTGTACGCTTGATATTCTTGGTTTCGCTTAAATATTTTGGTTGGTTCTTTTTGGCAACCGCATGATTTTCCTCTCAAAGCAAGCACTGAATGTATCCAAATCCAAACACTCGCACTTTGCAAGAATGATTGAAAAAAAAAAAAAGGAAGAAGAAAGAATAGAAACAAATTAAATCGACAGATTTCTGCAAACAAATCTAAGATCAACAGTATATGGTATAATGCTCGTTTAAACATGATGAAAAGTGATCATCCATCCATCCATCCATTTTAACGACTCTTAACGAACATAATCAAACAGTACAGAGGTTTGAAAATGATTACTTACTACTAAAAATAAAAAAAGATAAAGATAACGGGCCATGGGATTGGGAACTAACAAGCATGACCGAAATCAGTTGTCATAGGTACGGCACTCCTCAGTCTCAGGATTGTCTTTGCAATAGTTCTCCAAGACGTCCGTCTCTTTCTTGCGGTCCCTGGCGTCACTTGCAGCTGCGCTCAGCTCCTCGACTTCATCCCACGCGGCAGCACACTCTCCGCTTTCTGGGTCACCGGCGCATGCTTCCTCAGCATGCTTGACGCTCTCAGCCACCTGGTCCGACAGCCTTTCCGGTGCTGCAGCCAGGGGCCGGACACAGAGTCCCCGGTGCACAAAATGGGTGGTGGTGGAACTCTTGCACGGGTGGTTTAGGCAGGGGAACTTGAGGGTCGAGTGTGATGCCTTGGCCAATATTTGTGGGGTTGAGAGGCTCACACCAGCTATGGCTGCCATGGCTATAATTCTGATACTCTCCCGGCTCTTATTGCTCCAGTCCAGTAGGGGCTGTAAGCTTTGCAATTATTATATAATACCAGATAACGTAAGAAGCCATACGCTCGCTCCTATAATATAGTACTAACAGTAACAGGAGTGTGAAATGAATCCTGAACATACATTTCTTATCACTTGTCTTCCTATCAAGATCTTCCACGTCATTCCACTACCAATTGTTTTTTTTTTTCTTTTGTGGAAATATCTTTTGTTTTATATATATTCGGTTGGCATGAAATATCTGTGCAGTTTATTTTTATTTTTTCCCTTCCTTCCACGTGCAGCTCTTGATGATATTTTCACAGCATTTCATTCTTACGTCTGTCAATATATACATATTCATCTGCGGGTTGGTTTCGCACTGGAGAATCGATTTTGTGCTTTCAATTAGTTGAGGAAAAACCAGAGAGTCATGATGATGATTTTGGATCAAGTTAGGCACAGGTGAACGAATGTACTCAATTCATATGATTGATGGCTAATTTTCCTCCATTCGTAGAAAAAAAAAAGGAAATATCAACCTAGCGTGTGAAATACGCTCAACTTAAAAAGAGGATTCGGCCATTTCCGAACGCGAAATATTCTGCGTTCCCGGGGAAATTGACCTTTTATGTTTTTTTTTTTTGTGGTGAAAGTAAACACTTTTTATAACTTCTTCACGTGTAAATTTATTTAAGGGACTAACAAGTCTGCTACTGATAATAGTAGCAGTAGTGGTAGTTAACAAGCCTACAGTGTACTACTAATCATTTTTACTAGCGATAACAGTAGAGCGGCAGTAGCGCTGGGACGATAATGTTGTTATTATTGCAGCAGCAGCAAACTAGTGAAAATGCGGCTTCACAAAGTTTATCATCGATTCTCCTCCCACTCCCTTCCCACTCCCCTCTCTCTTCTTCACCATCATCATCTCCCCAAGCCTCTCTCCTCCTCCTCCCGTTCTCCTCTCCCCAAAGCCGTCCCATTACCCTTTAGATTTCCGGCCCTGCATTCACCAACTTCCAGTTCCGGGACCTGTTATAATACCTCCTCCCATCTCAAACCCATCCCCATGCCCTCCTCCAGAATCCACAATCTTGTACCCGTAAACGCCGTCGCTGTGGAGGACGGTGCTGCTTCCAACGCATCCGATCCTCCTCATCAACCCACTCATTCTGCGTCACCTGAAAACCAAGGTTGTTCTCAAATAAACTTTTTCATAATATACCACTATTAAGATTAAAAAAAAAAAAAAACCAATAAAGGAAAAGGGTTGCCCAATCTTTTCTTTTTCTTTCTTTTTTGGTTAAGACAACGATTTATACTAGTACTAATTACTTAATAGGTATGTAAAATCTGGACGTTGATTTTAGTTTTCTTTCTCTCTCTCTCTCTCCTCTTCTTTAGTACTACTAGACTTCGATTAGTTATGGATGAGTCTAATCAACGAAATGCTTAAAAACTTGCTGGCTGCATTACCTACACTTCTATCGTTTAATCAACAGATTTGGGCGCCAATGGATATCAATTTCCTCCCCCAGAAATTAGAGATATAGTGGATGCTCCCCCTCTTCCTGCACTCTCGTTCTCTCCGCAGAGGGATAAAATACTTTTCCTCAGGCGGAGATCTTTACCTCCTTTGGCAGAATTAGCCAGGCCAGAGGAGAAGCTCGCTGGTGTTCGCATTGATGGAAAATGTAATTCCCGAAGCCGTATGTGAGTGATTTGGAATTTTTCCTGTCTTTTCCTTCGCTTTTGTTGTTGTTACTGCATTCTTCCATGCTGTTTCTTTCACTCACTTAATGCAATCACGGATATAATTAGACTCCAAATGTTGCAAGTAACTCGTGTATTTGCAAGTCTAACATGGCATGATACTATATGCTTCGCTCATCATTTTTCTCAGGTCATTTTACACGGGTATAGGGATCCACTTGCTAAATGCTGATGGTACCTTAGGTCCAGAGAAGGAGATCACCGGCCTCCCACACGGTGCTAAAATCAATTTTGTTACTTGGTAATGCCCGCCCCCTCTTTCAACTTTTAGCTTGAGACTTACAACCCACTGATTCTTGGAGTCCTTAACTAGTTCAGTATTGCTGTTATCCCATTCTCATTTCATTTTTATGTGCGGACTGGCAGTTGGCCATATCCCTCATTCTACTGCATTGTGATAATATGTACTCAATTTATCCATCTTTGATGTCATCATCTACGTTAATTTAAGTCTTAACTCTCAGACCACGTAGAGGATTGACCTTATTGTGATTGGTAATGAAACTCGGGTATTCTGAAGCCATGAGTCCATTTTCTTCACTTTTTCTCAAAATGCCACATAATCCACTGCTTGTCTACTTCTCATGGGAAGAGAGATCACCTTCTGCCAGGAAATGTTAATTTCCAGGTTTACTTTCTTACACTTAGTGATGTATTCTTTCTCATCTCTAAAGAAAAAATTTATGATTTTGTTGAGCTCATGTAAGATTATAACTTG